GATTTTTGCATTTGTTTTCTCTGCTTCGTACTTCGAAGGATCTAGAACCTAAGATCTCAGCCATTGATTCTCTCTGTTAATAATGGTGGTGAAACGAGCACCGTACGATTGGGGCACCGGCTCTTTGGGGGACAAGGAAACAGAAGATGATGACGTGGACATTAGCGATTACAGCTTTGACGTGGCTGGGTCAAACTTCTCAACACATCAACTGAATTACCAGAATTACCCTTGTTTATAGGACCAATTAAGTTACCGGATTTGGAAATATTTATACAAGTGTGTGATAGATGTCGACATTCCAAGTTAATTGACGTATTCTCCAAGTGATTTTGACATACCTGAATCTATAATCTAAAATGGTTTTTTTTTCGAAACATAATCTAAAATGGTTAAAACAAGATCATCTTCATAATATTTCAGTTAAAAGTTAGAAACACAATTATCAAATACGTCATCATTAGATGAATAGATGTGTTAGAAAAACTTTATAATCATTGTTAAAACAAAACAAAACTTTATAATTAGCAGATAGACTATACAATTTGTATGTTTTTATTTTTCTTTTTTAATAAATTATTAATATTAGAAATGAATAAATTTTTAAAAAAATTATTAAAATTAAAATAAATGAACAAATTCTAGTATTCAATTTTAAAAGGGATATTTGCAAAAATGTCATTGTTTGTGTCCACATTTGCAAAAATACCACTAATTATGATTTTTTAGAGCCTAAACTTTAAAATTCTAAGCTCTAAAAAATCTTTTGACCCCTAAAACCCCTTAAACCCTCAAAACTAAACCATAATACAACATAGAGCATAAATGATATAATGAATAAATAAWWWTRAAAAAGTGGCATTTTTATAAAGATTGTAAAAAAATGGCATTTTTGTAAAGTGGCACTTGAAAAATGGCATTTTTTGAAATTTCTCATTTTAAAAATACTTATAAATTTTACTAAATAAACATAAAAACGAAAATTTTTAATGAAATAAGTTGGACTTAGGAGATCATTCAATCAAATATTCTTATTTTTGTAAAATTTA